CCTCCCAATGGCCACGCCCCAACTTGTTCAGGTTAACATCTAACAACCCACAGGCCAGGTTGCATTCCTGGGAGACTCAGACTCGTCCTCTGGGACAGACAAGGTCATTCACCATCAGTCTGAATAGCCAAGGGCACACAGAAGGTCGGGCGGCCACCACTATGTCTGCCTGGCCTTCTTTCTAGACCAGTGGTTCTCAACCTTCCTCATGCCGCGACCCTTTCCTCATGTGCTGGTGACCCCCCAACCATCACATTATTTTCGTTGCTACTTCATCACTGTAATTCTGCTACTGTTATGAACTGGGCAACCCCTGTGAAAGGGTCGTTCGACGCCCAAAGGGGTCTCGACCCACAGGTTGAGAATCGCTGTTCTAGAGCATCAGTGGGCCAAGGCCGGGGAATGGGCTCAAGGGCAGAGCCTGGGGCTCCCCAAGTGCCAGGAGGTGGAGGTGGGACTTGGATTTGTGCCGCACTAAGGAAGCAGCCCTGCTGGGTCAAGGTGGCAAGTTGGGCTGTGATCTGCATGGCCGGCAGTTTGAAACCCCAGCAGCTCCGAGGCAGAAAGGAATGGGTTTTCTACTCCTGTCTCAGAAACCCACAGGGAGGAGGGGGAGGGCAGGGGGACACGATGAGTCAGCATTGACTCAATAGCAGGGAGCCTGAATTTTGTTTTGGGGTACCTTGGCTTGTTCCAGGGCAGGGTGGCATAGGCAGACCCAAGGTTGGGGGACGCCTGGGGAATTAGGGGGAGCTATGGGGGAGTTTTTGTTTTTTGTCCACATTTACACCTTCTCAGGGCCCTTTCCATGGATGGGGGAGTCTGGGCACCTCCCCCTCCCAGCCCAGCTGGGTCTAGGGGTGGATGAAGACTGGGAGGTTTTCCAGGGAGCCCCTGCCCCACTGGGAGGCGCTGGGGCCTGGGAGGCAGCTGGCACCTTGCAACCCTGCAATTAGTCAGAGGAGTTGGTGGCAGGGAGGGGCAGAGGGTACAGCTGGTTTCCCGGGCACTAGCTCTCTTCTGCCTCCCACTCACGGCCTCAGAGGGAAGGATGCCCAGCGGGCTGCTGGGCCCCCAGCAGACAAGGCACTGGGTCTTCGAGGGGGATGCAAAGAAATGAGAGCCTGGCACCACAATTATTTTCAGGGATGGGAGCGGCTTGAATGGGACCACCCACCTGCTACTACTGTGTCCGTTTTTGTTGTTCTAGGGGTGTCCAGGCGATGCCAAGTCACTGACACGGAGCAGAACTACCCCAGAGGGGGTTCAAAGCTGTGATCTTTACACAGAGCCGACTGCCAGGTCTTTCCCCCGCAGGGCTGCTGACCAGGGATCCGAGCAGTACCCGCTGTACAGACAGGAAAACTAACATCCAGAGAGGGACACGGGCCTGCCAGGACACAGCCCGGAGGAGGCCTGGTGGGGAGAAGGCTCACACCAGGGCATGGCTTTCAAGGCAGGGAAGCCGAGGGGCTGGCTGCCTGGTGGGGTCAGGGTGAGCATGATAGCCTTGGGTGGTGATGGAGAACTGTGCTTCCAGAGCAGAGTGGAGGCGTGGGTGGGGAGGTAGGGGTGGCCCTGGCCTTCGCCCTCAGGGGAGCAGACATTGGATGGGGTGGGGTCTGGCCTAGCCGGTTCTCCAGCAGGTCTGGGCACAGAGGTCTGTAAAGCAGGCTCTGGCATTGCCACTGCTGGGCTGCCTCAACTCCTAGGCCCTGGGTCTTCCACTCAGCGAGACTCCCACCTCCCTGCAGGAAGACTGAGCTGACCTGCAGAAAGGCCGGTCTAGAACCTGTCAGGCAGGTATTGCAAATGGGGGTGTGTGGGACCCGTACTTCAGTTCTTCCCCTCCCATCCATCCTCCTCCCCTTTGGTTCACTTATGATGCTTACTGGGCCCAGGGCACAGTGCTGGAGGGGTCTCTGCCCTCCAGGAGCAGCTGGTGGGACAGGAGCGGCTCCCTCTCTAGAATGAGCCACGCAGCCTGGGCGTCCCAGGGCCTGGGAGTGGGACTTGGACGGGGCGTTGTGGGTAAGGCTGGGGTGGGAGAGTGTGAAGCCTGAAGTGGGTTGCAGAGGCCAGAGCTGCACTGGGAGGGGCTTTGCAGTGGCTGGTGGGGTGGAGCGGCCTCACCACTAGCCAGCTGTGGGTGTGACAGGGAGGGTGACTCACTGCCTCTGAGACTTTGACCCTCAAGGTGATATGGGGTGATGTTGGGGACCAGCAGTGAGATGCGGCGAGGGGGGACACCTGGGAGAGTGGGATCAGTGTTGGCAGTTACCCCAGAGAACCTGTTGGGAGCTCTGGGTCAGATATGCTGGATGTGACTCCGATGTTTGGCCCTCTCTCCCCCGCCAGCTGGGCCAGATGGGGGAGAGCCAGTGCTTTCAGGGGCTCCCAGGGCCAGGCGGTTGGGAGTAGTGGGGACTGTGGTGCAACAGATGGGGGAGTCTGGGCCCAATACTGGAGCAGCTGGCCTTCCGCCCACGGTGGTCAGTGGGTAGGTGGTAGTGGGTAGGGATTCGTCAGAAGGGAATCCACATTTCAATGGGAGAGCCTCCCGTTACTCCTGTAGCCAACATGTCCAGCACCTTCTGCCTGACCTCAGCAAAGCTGAGGCTTCTGTTGACAGAAGTGGCCGGTATGCCCATGACCACTGTTGACCTGTATCCGATGAGAGAATGAGGGTGAGCCCTGGAGGGCTGTGAGCAGGGGCCCTGTGCACCCCTGTCCCAGGAGCCGCCCCGAGCTGTCTGTGGCTGCCCTGCTGCTCGGAGACCCCGTGTCTGGTACAGTGCTGGTGGAGGCCGACCCTTGCCTCACAAGACCCGCCCCGCCGGGAGGGAGGGGGCCTGGAATGAGGCCCCTGTCCCCGCACTATCTCTGCGGAGGTGCCATGGAGTCTGAGCACCCGGCCAGGCTGGATGGGGTCTGCTCTGTGTCTGGGAATGGCAGCCCAGCCAGAGGCCTGGGGAGGCGGCTCCCAGGAGCCTGTTGCCTCAAGAGCTGACTCCCGGGGGGTCAAAGGGCAGCACTCAGCCAGTTCCAGTGGTAACTTCCTGTTTGGTAGGAACAAACAGGGACTCCTCGCAGGAAATGGTCCTCTTCCCGCTGGCTCCGTGGGGAGAGACTTGGGGCTGTCTCACCTCCTCCTGCTGTGCGCCCTTCACACTCAGGAGTGGGGGTTGAGGAGAGGGGATGGGGAGGGGGGTGTTGCCATGGCAGCAGCAGCCCGTACTAGCAGGGGTCTCAGCTTGGTGATGGGGAGTGCTGTCTGTGCCCAGGCTCCTTACCCCCAGCCTGGGTTCCTGGAGCTGCCTCTTCCCTGCTCTCGGCCTCCAAGGTTGTGACGCCCCCTGGGACCAAGACTTCAACAGTCCCTGGTGATGAGCTGGCACTCAGTGCAGCCTCCCTCCAACCCGCCAGGGGTCCTCTTACCAGCCTAAGGGAGGTCCTCCCTGGCCCCAGCCTCCGCTGGGTACCCAGAACCCTCCCTCACACACTTGGGACACAGGGAACAAGCCACCACCCCAGGCCAGAACCATCTCGGGGTCTTGTCCTGCAATAAGTCATCAGAAGTGGCTGGTGCAAAAGACAGCAGCCCCCAATGCCGCCGCATCTTGGGTATTAGGAAAGGCTGTGCTTTAAATAGCCACCCCAACAGGTGATGCCATCAACAAGGAAGTGAAAACTGCCTGCCACTCCACACCCCCGGGCTGGGCCGGGACTGGGCCGGCTGGGAAAGGGAGGGGCTCTGTGTCCACGCCCATCTCGGAAACAGCCACCTCACCTGGACTTCACTCAACCGGGCAAAGCCCACCTAGGGCACACCCGCCACTAGGGCATACCTTTGGGCATTTGAACACTGGCTAATCTTTACTGGGGGGCAGCAGGGGTTCAGGAGCAGTTTTCGATTTCTAGATGAGTGCTGACAAGCAAGGTCACTTTTGGGGGTGGGGGGCTCAGGGGCACCTCACCCAAGCCAGGGTATCTTCAATGCCCTCATTTGCATGTGAACAGCAGACACTGAATGAGGGCTCAATGAATGAGACAGAACTAAGATGCATCTGACCCGGCTGCTGGTGAGAGATGGAAAGCCAAAGAGCCAACAGCCAGAGCGCTCCTTCGAGGCAAGGGCGGCGAGATGTAGTCCACGTACTTGGTGGACATGTGGCCAGGAGAGACCAGTCCCTGGAGAAGGACATCATGCCTAGTTAAGTAGAGGGGCAGTGTAAAGAGGAAGGCGCTGGACCAGATGGACTGACCCGTGGCTGCAACAGGGGGCTCACACATTACAGCTGTGGGGATGGCGCAGGGCCGGGCAGAGTGGCCTTTGTGAGTGTAACCACGTTGAGGGCACCGAACAACAGCCACCACCAATGAGGCTGGGCTTCCATTTCTAGCCGGGGTACCTCAGGCACAGCTGCCCCCCCTGTGTCAGTGGAGCTGGGAGGCTTGTTACGGTGCTGGACAGGTGTCCGTGGCATTACCAGATCAATATGGGCTAGTTAGAAAGGCCTGGAGGTCGGCCTTGGAAAATCCCTCTGGGTCACGCTGATCTGGTCCACAGCTGGTGCAGGACGTGGTGCTGGAGCGGGCAGTGTTTCATTCCACTCTGCCTGGGGCTCTTTGAGCTGGAGGGCGACTCCAGGGCTGTGAACTACGTTTAATAACCACTGGGATGAAGTCAGCTGAACTCCCTCTCACGGCTCTGAGACGTCAGACTTGCAGGTGGAGCAAAGGAGACTTGTGGAGGGTGGGTAACTTCCCTGAGGTCCTCGCATAGCCAGGAGGGGGTAGAGCAGAGATTTGAGGCCAGGCCATTAGGGGGCAGGACCTACTCCTACTGAACTGAAGCATCCTCTTCTCTGGGCTAGATGGACCCCAGGCTTGCTCTTACCCCCCTCCCCTCTCCTGCACAGAGAAGCCAGGTTCCAAACCCCTCTGCAGCCCAGACACATATTTCTTTCATTCTTCCCAATTCTTTAAGTCGCTCCACCTTTCTCAGTCACGTGAATTCCATTTATTACAAAACACTGGGTCCGTCACTTGGTAATACAGACAGGCCCCCAGCACCACCACCACCACCCCTGCTGCAGAAAGCCCTGCCCTGCGTGGGTGGGACATCTGCGCTGAGCCTTGGAGTGGTCTGGTGTTTATAAAACCAAAGGGGTCCCAGGCCCTTCAGGCATATATATATAATATATATGTATATAGCGTAGGCTGTGGCTTCCTTTCCAAGGGGTCCGGTGGGTAGACCCATGCAGGCCCACCTGGGAGAAGGAAGTTGTGGGTGGTAGGAGTAGGACCCAGCCCAGAGCCAGTGCAGGCAGCTGCCTCAGTGCAAGAGCTGGTCAGCCTGGGTGTCTGGGGCCCACCGGAGCCGCTCTAGGCCACCTGGATCTGCAGGTGTTCGTCCTCGTCCAGGTCGCTAGCTCCGTCCCCGGCCTCCTCCGAGCCAAAGCGAGCACTGCGGATCTTCCCGAAGAGAGGGGCATTCTGTTGCTGCCTTCGGAGCCTGTGAGGGTGAGGGG